CACACGCACACGCACACGCACACGCACACCACCTTTTTTAATACTAAAATTCCTATAGAGTTATGTCATCATAGCTGAAAATATGGGAATGTAGGGGTTCTATTGTCCTAGACAAGTACTGTACCACTTCGCTAAACTCCTAGTCAAAAGGACAAGTTTGGATAGAGAAGGAAAAATATTATCTAGCAAAACCTGAAATTAGGAATCTGAGGATACAAAATACTTAAGGAAATCCTGGAGAAAGGTTAAGAGAAGCTTAGAAGAATATATGAAGAACAGCCAGAAATAATTCATACCTGAAGGACAGAGTATATTTTAATCTATAACAATTTTAATATCTGATGGTCATTCTTAACCTCTCTAAGCAGTGCTGAAACTGCCCACTTACTTGAATTCTATTGTCACTAATGGTGGTAAGTTTCCCGTTGATGTTCTGTCTACAAGACCATCTGAAGTTCAGAGCAGGTCACCATGACTAGTAGCTGTGCCCTCCAGCGATAAACGGAGTCCTGAGCATTTGGAGTCCATATATTAGCAAGTGTCTCACAGAGGAGTTTGTTCTGAAATATGTTCTCAAGAGTACCAGAGTTCTTTGTAATAATTTTCAGAGCACTTCATGATGCCAAAGGCAAATAAGAGAGTACACACACTGAGTCCTTGGGCTAACCACTTTAAATGCCTGACAGCTGAGTGCTGACTCCCAGTTTATAAGCCTAATTTACACCTGTATAGGCATTCTTGTTGGCAACTTTGATCACCATAGGCAAAGGAGCTAAGATCAAAGAGAAGGAACCCAGCTATGCTGTGGTATTTTGGCAACCTAGATAACTGGAGATCTTGCACTATCGAAAATATAGAAAAGATGTTGGCTGTTTGAATCATCTCATGGTGTATAAGAATCTAAATATGTTCAACCTGAAGAATCTGACCTTGTAGCAACATGAATCACATTTCTACAGAGAACGTCAAGTCAACTACACAAAATCATCATCTGTGGTGTTATTGTGAGTTTAAGAAATATATTGTTTGGAGGTATATTTAACTTGTAAAGGTTACCTGTGATTGTCCTATAATTTCATAAGAGATAAAATATCTTCAGGAGTTGAGATATTTAGAAGTCAAGACCAATGAGAAAGGGAAGGTTCTGACAACTTTTTTGCTGTCTCTGAGTCCCAGTGATAAATTTGAGTGAATTTCTTTGTCACTAATTTTTTTTTAGGTCTGTGTATATATGTCTACTTCTCATGGGCAGGGTTTGTTAATTATGACTTTACTGCTTTCCTTTCCTTTCAGATAAAGTTATCTGACTTTGGTTTCTGTGCTCAAGTTTCCAAAGAGGTGCCAAAGAGGAAATCACTGGTGGGCACGCCATACTGGATGGCACCTGAGGTGATTTCCAGGCTACCTTATGGAACAGAGGTAAGCAGGTAACAACCATTGCTGGGGACAGCGGACCCCAGGATCTCCTCAGGGACAAAGTAGTCCTGATTGGTGGGTATGGGAGCTAAGGGACTTCTGACTCCATAGTTGATCCCCAACAATAGGGATCTGTTGGCTCAGAGTTGGCTGTGACAGAGGAAACACTGATCCCACTGGGGACATCACTACAATATTTACACAGTGGCTTTCCCTTAAGTCCTACAGGGAAGTAGAAAGGGGATTATAGAGTCACTAAATACTGGTCCCACTCCCAATAGAAAGCTCTAAAGAAAAAAATAATAACTGGAATGATGGCTGAAGTCATGCAGAAATACTTCAGAAAAGGGAAAGAAGTATAGAAAGTACCACTAGGAAGTAATATTTGCAAATAATTGAAATATAATAGAAAAAGTATCTGTGTATATTGTAACAGACAAAATACGGAATAATTTAAACAAGGGGGTGGGGCAGATTGATGCTTTCAAGGCATGGAACAGTGTGAGCAGAAGATTGGAGGCACTCAAAAACTAAGCATAGTGCTCCCTTCCATGCACTGTGGTGCAGACGGCAATGGCAAGTGGTTTGTATTGATGAGCGAGCGGCACCTGAATGAAGTCTGGCTTGGCTCTCCTCTTGTTTTCTGTGGCCTTGGATGAGGACTCGGATTGTTTTCCTCACTGTGGTCCCCAGAGATAAATCCTCAGCAACAGTAGCAAGAGATAGATGAAGGATGCAGAGAGCAGATTAAAGTGCAATGAGGCCATAGCAACTAGACTAGAAGGGGTTTACAGAGCCACTGTCCTGGCCTCCCCTCCTCCAGCTTCCCATTCCGTACTCAGAACCATTTGCCATTTCTTCCTTTGCTTCACTCCCTGAACATAGTTTATGAAGCAGGAGTTTGTGGGATTGATTTAAAATAATAAACATAGAAGTGGAAAATCTCAAAGTGGGTGGGGAAAGAACTCTGTAAAACTCAGATTTGTAGAAGGATGAGAGCACACCATACGTGATACAAAGTAGATCCTTGATGTTTGCATTAAACATGCCAACGGACTTTCTCAGATTCTTATGATTTAAACATGACTTTCTTCTCTGGCCATGACATCTTTCACCATCTGCCTAGCTAAGTGGTGTCCCTTTCCTCACTCACCACTCCATGTAGTCCCTGCTGATGCTGTGAAAGAGGACGACCTTCCCAGAATAGAGGAGGACCAGTCTTTGGTCAAGGGTATATGAGTAGCTGTGATCCCCCTGATAGAACAAGCTTTCTCTTTTCATAATGTAAAAGTTTGGGTTTTCCTTCCTTCCTTCCTTCCTTCCCTCCTTCCTTCCTTCCTTCCCTCCTTCCTTCCTTCCTTCCTTCCTTCTCTCCTTCTTTCCTTCCTTCCTTTTTATCTACCCTGGTATGCAGTTAACACGTAGTTTAACAGCATAAAAATTAAACCTTTAGACTTGAGAATGCTTTATTTTCATTTCTAACGATCTGGTAGAAACTTCACTAGAGTCATCTTTAAAAATTACACAGGGCCCAAGAAGCTGGATTGCACCAGGGTTGTGAGAGCATACTGCTTTTGCAGAAGTTCTGGGTTCAGCTCACAACACCCACATCAGGCTGCTCACAACTGCCTATAACTCCAGGTCCAGAGGCTCTAACATCCTGTTTGGCTTCTGAGAGCACCTACCCCTACACACACACACATACACACATACACACACACACACACACACACACACACACACACACACGTAAACCTCCTTTTATAAAGAAAGATCAATTAGCAAAAAGGGTGATAATACAATAATAACTCATATAAATTTTTATCATAAAGTTTGAAATTAAGTTGTGAAATTAACTAATTTGTGAATAAAATATAGATCTTCTGGATTTCACAACACAACCAGAACTCCAGAATTTTCTCCATTTCTGACATAACTAGTAAATTGTGCCTAACAGGTGGATATCTGGTCCCTCGGGATCATGGTGATAGAGATGATTGATGGTGAGCCCCCATATTTCAATGAGCCTCCTCTTCAGGCAATGCGGAGGATCCGAGACAGTTTACCTCCAAGAGTGAAGGACCTACACAAGGTGAGGATTGGTCTCTGATGCTATGTCCAGAAGAGTTACCGGATTTTTCAGACTCCTTGTCCATTTAAAGACTGGCATATCCAATCCAGTGGGTCTGATTTGGGGTTAAGGGTTTTGGACGCAGTCATCTAGATTCCGATCAATGTTTTTCCGTGCATTTATGGGGCAAGTGATTCCACAGATCCAGCCTCAAAGTTTTTCATCTATAATGGGATGTCACCAGCTTGTATCTCAAAGGGCTGGTGAGAGGTGAATTGAAGTCTCCTTCCAGTATTCTCTCACTGAGTAGTTGGTACCTGCTGGGGACTTCTAATTGCTAGGGATATTCAAATTTCTTGACTCTTGTAGAGCTTGCATTCTAAGTAGTGAAGAAGGTAATGCAATTTACACCAATAAATTAAAAATAGTCAATGAATGCTATGAAGAACACAAAGTACTGTGGAGAGATGAAATTTACAAGATGGAAGACTGAGAGCTGCTTTAGTATAAAAAGCCAAGGTTGCCCTTTATGGAAAGATTCAACTAAAACAAATGAAAGAAGGCAATTGTCAGACAAAGATCTGGAAGAAAATATGCCATGTAGAAAGAGCATCAGATACAAGTACCTGAAGCCAAGGAAGAAGGCCTATATGTTGCAGCAACACAGCCAGGAGATAAAGATAGAATGTTCCAGAGAAATAGACAGGAGCTAGATCATGCAGGGAGAGAAAGGGCATGTTCATATCAAGGACCAATGGATGTAGTTTTCACATGTTCCAAGATAATAGCAACTGGGACTAAGATAAGGCTCATGGTTACTCCAAGAGTTACCCTGCCAGATCGAACTTCCCTGTAAGACCTGACATTTCAAGGTTAACCTCAGCCTACCCATACTTACATCGACCTGATTTATAACAGACAGAACATTAGGGTAGAAGAGTTTGGAACAGTAGAAGCTCCCCATGTCCTCTCACCTATTGCTGAAAAAAGCTCAGAGAATTATTGGTATAGCTTGTGAAGAGAATCAGCAAAAATGAAACCACAAGAATGCAGTAAGAGTTTGAAATTTTTGCTAGATTGGGTTAAGATTAATCAAAGAAAATTAGCTAAAAAACCTGTTTGTTAAAATAACTCCACACCAAGTAGAATTAAGTGCTAATGAATTCACAAAGATATATTTACTTCTAAGTTTTAAAAGCTGGAAAAAGCCCAGGCTTTTTTCCAAAATGAATAATCTATGGAATAATTGAATAGCTACACAAAAATGAAAACAATGAAAGAAATGAAGAAAGAATCTCACTAATGTGATGTTGAGTGAAAATAAGCCAGTGAAAGATAACAGTATACAAATATATGTGTTTGTATATATATTTATATGTATAACATATTTATGTGTATATACTAATGCTATATAATGTTTACATATTATATACACATGTATATATATATGTGTGTTTGTGCAGAATTATATGTGCAATTTATGCATATATTCAACATATATGCACATAAATTATATATACATATATAATTACATGTGTATGTATGTATATAATTTTGTACAAAACTTAAAAGCAGGCAAAAACTAATGCATCTTATTAGAAGTAAGGATACTCATTTTGTAGAGTTATACGTATTGCTAAGCAGAAGTCTGGGGCATCCTCTTAAAATGACAGAAATATTCTATATCTCAAAGGTAGAGCATAAACAGATGTCAACATATGATAAGTAAATCAGGACATTCATCTAATAGTGTTCATTTCCAAGTAGCATCTGATAGATGTCAGAAAAGACAACTTTATAAAAATTAAGTGGAAATGTCTGTGTTGACTAACCTGATGGCCATGCATTTCTCTCTGTGAAAGGGGGAGGGGTATCCCAAGCACTATTTCATAATCGAAGTCATCTTGCTCACACATACCACCAATGCCTATATAATCCAGACACTACAGTTGCTTTTATCATTTACCATCATTATCTAATTTAATAAATAGTTACTCTATCCTTTACCCCCATTGTTTTAAATTTTGAAAACAATTGTAATGATAGCACATATTTTTCTTCCATATCCTTCTCATTCATTTTGTATAATTTGAATTCATTGATAAGAGGAGTTGGGACATCATTTCAGGCTACTGGTGTGGGCTTCTGTGTTCATCCTTAGTGTTGAGTCTCTTTTCACAGGTTTCTTCCATGCTCCGCGGATTCCTGGATCTGATGTTGGTGAGGGAGCCCTCTCAAAGAGCCACAGCCCAAGAACTTCTTGGACATCCATTCTTAAAATTGGCAGGTCCACCATCTTGCATCGTTCCCCTCATGAGACAATACAGGCATCACTGAGATTCATAGAGAAGACAAACATAGGTGAAAACATGAGAATGATTCAGGAGAACATGAGGAAAAACCCACAGAACTTGCAAAGGCCTGTGCATTCTACACCAGCTGATTGGTGGGACAGCGTGATGACCTGACCGGCAGGGTTTGACAGACCAGGGCATCTTCCAGTGTCTTAAATAGGCATCTCTCCACTGACAGCTGATGAGGTCATTTGGAGCATGGCTTTAAAAAGTCATTATTACATATTTTCAGCCCTTCTTCCAGTGAATCAGAAGGACTCAGTACAAACTCCGTTATGATGATATATCCTAGCCACATGCAGGGTACCGCATAGGATTTTCTATATTGAAAGAATACTTTTCTGGCAAAAAAAAAGAAAGAAAGAAAAGAAAAAGCACTTTTTTTCTTAATGGTAGCAGTGTAATGTATTTTGCAATGAATTTGTAATTTTTCTGTACGATAGTTTTGATAATTTATAGTACTTTGATGTCACGTAGCCATTGTCTCAGTTGAAGTAATACTTGTTTACTAGCAGGCATTTGAACAAAACCTTTCCTACTTTTTTATCCCTTTCAGAGAACCAACGGTTCTTCAGGAACTTTGAATACTAAATGACCCTCAGTCACCGTCAGCTTTAGCAGAAAATCTTTCTTATCCTAACAAGTGTCTTATGTAATGGAAGAAGAGTTACAGAGTGATAGTGATGGTGCGGACATTTTATTTACCCAACCAAATATAATGAAATAAAGTTTGAGCCACAGAATCACCAAACGATTCCTTGAGAGAATGCTAAATATTTTGAAAAATCATTTTCTTTCAAGGATTCTGGTAACACACCAGTTTTTGAAGAGCAAGATATTTCCCTTGATGCCCACCTTTAAATAAGCTTGGCATCCCCTGTGGCCAAATTTTCCTCCCAGGGAGCAATTTCAGTGCTGGGATCATTGGACTCAGTTCCCCATGTAGAATGTTTTGGTGAGACCATGGAACTCCCAGGCTCACAAAAGAAGAGTGAACAAGGCAAGCTGTTTGGTTTTGTTTGTCGCTGTTTCTAGGACTCTGTATGCTAGGACACCAAACTCTTGTCTGTATTTATCTTCATGCCGCAGTATTAATCACTGTTATTCATGTATTGTGCTTGAAGTCTGAACGGATGATAGAGGGTGAATTAGCAAGGGGGTACTTTACCAGGTATGGTCTAACAAGTGGTGACCATGTTATAATGTGTTTCCAACATAAGGAGAGTTGTGCTGCTGTCTAGATCTTCCTGAATGTTGATAAAAATGAATGACTACTACAATACATTTTGTGTTGCTTGTTGGATGAATTTGCATGTTAACTGTAGGCCAATATAGATTTGCCTTTAAAACTCTGGAAGCGCTACATAGTCATCATTAGTTTCTATTAATTATGCATCAGACAAAAGCCATTTGTTACCAAACTGGAAAACCAGAGACTTTACTTATTGACTTCACATACTGTAACAAATATGAAATAAATTTGTGAAGATACTCTGGTTGCTCTAAGCATAATTAATATTTTTTGTAATTAATAGGTTGATAATTATTTATTATAGTTTAAAAGGAAAAAAGGCATAAAAATGACCTTTTGCTGAGTAGCTCTTCAGTTTTTCCACAAACTGGAAACTCTTTAACCTAAATAGAACTTATAACTTTGTTTCATAAAACACAGACGATCAATGTTTTATGTAAACTCTTAAGGTTTTAATATAAATGTGTAAGAATAAAAGCAATCTGAACCCTCAAAATGGCAATCCTAAAATGTCACAAAACAGAATGTCACAATTAAGCCAGGACTATGTAGGAGAGGAAAGAAGAATAAATCAGAATCATTTTTAACCAGAATCAACATTTAAAAATTAATTGCAGGAAATAGAAGATTTTGGATTCAAACAACTTTTGACAGTGTAATGGGAAATTTTTTCTGTAATTTTCTTATCATTGGTCATTTTTTACAGTTTTGGTAAGTTTACAAAATGTTCCAGTAGCTTAACGGGGTCTGTGAGCACTGAGCACTGGCAGAAACTGCACCACAAATAAAGCAAGTGTTTGCCTTTTCCCCACCATGCTATTGGAAAGACTTTATTTTCTGAATTTGTCTTATTGAGTAAATAAGGATGGTGTGTTTATGATCTTGGGGGTGCAAATGAATAGGTTTATGTGTCACATCATGATGTCTCAAACTGATCCCTGTCCCCAAAGTTTAAGGATTATGTAAGAATGTGATACAAATACCCAACTTAGGGGAAAAAAATACTAGGTTCTGAGAAATGAAGTTCAAGAAAAACCAGATGGAGAGCTAAGGACCTCCACTTTATCTCTATCCCATGGATGCTGTAGAGGCCTTTTCTCAGGAAATTTTATGAAAACAACATAGATATGGTTCTCTTAGCCTAGAATAGAGTGTTCATTCTCTTTGACACACAGGAAAAGCACTAACATTGACCCCTTGAAGTTCTAGAGAAATGCTTGTGACAAAGAACCCATTTCTTGTCTAGAAACTTTGGAAGGTTGCCTTCATGAAATAACCTGAGACAGGGTAAGGGAGGAGTCTGCACATCATGTGGCATGGGAAAAAAAAAGATGGAAGCATCTTAAACCTACAGGAGCTCGATATAGAAGCAACCTTCCCCAGACAAGACCTCCATCTTTGTTGCAAAGGGAGTATGCATTCAGTTTTCTTGGCTGTATCTAATGGATCATGGAGAAGAATCACAGACCATGTCAAACTACTTTTAAAATGTAAGGAGGGCCAGAGAGTAGACTCAGTGGTAGGACACTTGCCACCAATCCTAGTAACCTGAGCATAATCCATAGAGACAAATGGTGCAAAGAGAGACTCGAGTAAATGTTCTTTGACTACCACATGTATGCCATGATGCACATTTGTACACATGTGCACGTGTACACACAAACACACACACGCACACACACACACACACATACACACACACACACACACACACACACACACACACACACACACACAAGGAATTTTTATAAGTAATGAGATGCACAACCATAATGTGTTTTGAGGGAAATTTAGGGAGACATGGTTTCTTTTCTGCAGGAAACATGGTCAGAGTGCAACTGAAACTGAACTCTATAAAAGTACATCATCTACAGAGAGACTTCTGTGAACAGCAGAGGTTGCAGTCTTCAGACAGAACCAAAATGAGATTTGAGAATCTTCTCTCCTCTCCAATGGCATCTCAACTCAGCTGATGTCAGACATATTTCCAGAAGCTTGCCTCCATATGAGTTCCCGTAGAACCCATGATGGAGGGTGGAGGGTATAGAAAAAAGAGGGAATAGAATGTCATATTATATACCCGACCATCGAATCCTGCTTCTGTCTCTTTCTCTGGTACAAAGTCATCCAGTTCAAAGGGAGATGTGTTGGTTTTGAATTAACATGAGATTGACTCTTTGAAAGCCATAGATAATAGGTAAATGGAATTGAACTGAATTATGGTCATGTTCCTCTTACCCATCTGGAAGAACATGCTTTGGCAATTACTAAAAAATAAAATAAAATCATTTCATGAAGCTAACATCCCAGAGTCAGACTCCTTGGTCAATTTAATCAAATAAATAGATAGTGAGATTTCAAAGAGAGACAGATTGTATCTGGATCAGATATAAAATATATAAACAGGAAAATCTAAAGAAAATAACATGATACAGCACAAATGGAAGAGCTGTGAAAGGGAAACTGTCAGTATGAGCGTGTTGAATTATATTTCTATTTTCAGATTACCTTACTTACGTGTGGGTTACATCAAAAGGGAAACCTAAAACAAACATTTAAACGCAAATTCTGTACTTGTGTGATGAGCCTGGAAAGCTACCAGAATGAAGAGAGAGAGAAAATCAAATTCTATGTAACAATTTCCTTTACATTGAAACATTCTCTCCTGGAGTAGGAAGGGAAGCTCATGAGGTGCAGGAAGCTCACAAGATTTACAAAACTCAGGAGACTTCTCCCTACTTCTGTATAAGCAACAAACAATTGCTCATCTGGAGGACATCATTGTTCCTACAAGTTAGCTAAAGAACATTAAAAACATACCTTTTTAAAGTCAATAACCATACTATGGGGAGTTTTTTGGTGAGGCTCTTATCCGAACACCAGCCCCATTCCTGTAAGTAACCAATCCCCTGTGCTCTTGTTAGTAACCCCAGTAAGTTCACCATTTCTTGAAGGGACCCTTGAGTGGAATTTTCTTTGGTTTGTAGTCAATATAGGGTAAATAGAATTTTTCACCTTTCCCCAGGAAAAGTCAGGCAACATAATGAGCACCCAAACAAAGGCCAACAACAAGATTAGAAGAGCAGTTATATGACTTCTGTAATGGGTGGTAAGACATGCAGCTGAGGCTGGCTGATCCAAATAAGGGTGAAGCACCCATAGAAGTTTTCCCATCATGACAACCTTTCTTTGTGTGGTATGGGACACTTATCTTGACTTGGTAGCAGTTCTGTGAGTGATAAGACATGTAACCAAGGTCAAACTATGTGAAGGTGGAGCATCCTTGAGATAAAAGGATAATCAACTTCTTCTGCATAGTACAAGGTGTATATCTTTATAAATGATTATGGGGATCCTCTAAATGTGGCTGATAGACTAGAAGATACACAGCAGTACCTAAAAGTAGAACATATGGGATGGAACTGAAAGTAGGCTATAGAGACAGTTTCTTGGACTTTGCTGTGGGCAATAAGTCATACAACTGAGATTCAGCAATGTCCTTAGAAAATATGTGCACAAGTAAGAAAAACGTTACAACAGAAAAATACATGTGGATGCTGCTCTCTTAGGTTCTGATTCAGTAGGAAATTTAAAAAAAAAAAAGGAGGATGAAATGAGGTTGGAAGCTTGATATTTCCTACAACTGACAGGGTATAGAGATAAAGGGTAGAAAGAGACCTGAGCTATGCTGATGAACCCTTCCTGGGACCCAAAATTTAGGTCATGTGGGA